TCTCTACATCTTTTTTATAATATGGTGACCAAAATTGGATGCAGTATTTTAAGTGTGGTCTTACTAAGGCTTTATAAAATGGTACTAATACTTCATGTGATCTTGATTGTTATCCCTCTGTTACATTACATTACATTAGCTTTTTTGGCAGCTGCTGCACACTGCTGCCTCATGTTTAAGTGACTGTCCTTTGGACTCCAAGATCCCTCTTACAGTTACCTCTATTGAGCCAGGTTTCTTCTAATCTGTACCTATACATTTGGCTTTTCTTGCCTAAGTGTAAAACCTTACTTCAATTGTTGTTCATTCAACCATTGTACATAGTTAAGAAGCTTGCATAGTATAATTTGTGAACTTAATCTGTTTAACTGTAAATTAATTTGTAATTATAATATAATTACGGGACGCGGTGGCTCAATGGCTAAGACTCTGAGCTTGTCGATTGAAAGGTCAGCAGTTCAGCGGTTCAAATCCCTAGTGCCGCGTAACAGGGTGAGCTCCCATTACTTGTCCCTGTTTCTGCCAACCTAGCAGTTTGAAAGCACGTAAAAAACGCAAGTAGAAAAATAGGGACCACTTTGGTGGGAAGGTAACAGCGTTCCGTGCGCCACATGACCACAGAGACGTCTTCGGACAGTGCTGGCTCTTCAGCTTTGAAACAGAGAAGAGCACCACCCCCTAGAGTCGGGAACGACTAGCACATATGTGCGAGGGAAACCTTTACCTTTTACCTAATATAATTATAAATCACATATAATTTTAGAAGAATGAAAGTAATTATCTCTGGAGAATAAAAAATTAACAAATAAAGTAATAAATCACTACAAAAAAGGAAGTCACATTCCTCAAGGTTATGAGCTATTTCAAACAAGAAGCTTGTAGGTATTTGAATGACATTTTGCTGATAAGCTATTCTCTTTGCATTTCATTATAGTTCCATGATGTCTTGAAATTAATGTCTATTTTTATCTAACTAAAAACAGAATGCTGGCTAGGCCATTATTATTTTTCTTATTTTGTAAGATATAAGTCTGTATGGATTCCCAGTGTAAACATAACACAGCTATCCTGTTTTTGTCCCTTCCAGATGTGCTGGACCTGTAATTCCAGAAGTCACAGCTTTCTACCAACTGGAACATCTATAGCATCATGCTATAAAATCAGAATATTTCCTGCCACAGCTAAAGCAGATTGTTAAGATTGGATTGGTGGTTAATGATATCGTCGTCAGAAACATTATGTCAAAACCGTAAGCTGCTTAGCCAATGATTTAAGTAAGGATTACAAGTAGGGAAACACAATTACAATCATTCTCTATACCTTTCCCCCTTGTATGTGTTCCTGTTGAAGTAAGAAGTGTCTGTTGTGATTTTTCTCATCCACCAACATAGGCAGAAAAGCCCACGTTAAATTTCTTACATAATGGACAGTATAAATTGTGCTTCAAGGTTTTGGTTACCACCTTTAGAGAGCTCCATGGCTTAGGACCTGGATATTTACAGGACCGCCTGCTGCCACCAGTAGCCTCTCACCGGCCAGTACGCTCTCATAGAGGGGGGCTCCTCCGGGTGCTGTCGGGCAAACAGTGTTGACTGGCGGTCCCCAGGGGGAGAGCCTTCTCTGTGGGGGCATCTGCTCTCTGGAATGAGCTCCCCCCGGAGGTACGGAGGATCCCGGATCTACGCACCTTCCACCGCGCCCTCAAGACTTTTTTATTTCAACAGGCCAGCCTGGCCTAACTTTTTCCCTTTTAACTTTTTAAATTGTAAATTTTAAATTTGTTTTAAGTATTGGGGGTGTTTTAATTTGTCCCGGGCCAAATTATCTAATGTGGTTTTATAATGTTTTTTAAATTTTGTAATTCATGTGTTTTATTTTTTGGCTGTTCATTGCCCTGAGTCCTTCAGGAGTAGGGCGGTATATAAATTTAATTTAAAAAAAAATCCTTGTGTGTCCAATCACATTTGGCCAATAAGGAATTCAATTCAATTCAATTCAATTCAATTCAATTCAATTCAATTCTATTCTATTCTATTCTATTCTATTCTATTCTATTCTATTCTATTCTATTCTATTCTATTCTACTCTACTCTACTCTACTCTACTCTACTCTACTCTACTCTACTCTATTTTAAAGATGTCTTCCTAAACTACTTTCCTGAGCATAAATTTCAATGAACTAAAGCAAACTTTCTTTCCAAAATTCATGTATAGGACAATTCAGCACAAATATACTGCAGTAACCATTTTTATATCCCACAGGTTCAAGATGTTGCCCTTAAGTCATTCTTATCCTGTAGCTAAAGCATGAAACGAACCTATAACACATGTCAAGGATGACACATCACAATGTTTTGGGTGACATAACAGCATTCACCAACACGTGACAACTATTTTCAAAAAAATGTCCTGTTCTCAAACAGCTTTCAGAGGCTGCAGAGGTCATGTGAGAATGCAATATGTTCTCACATGGCTCCAAAGCCTCCCAAAATCATGCAAGAACAGGGCATGGTTTGCGTGGCTTTTATAGGTTGCAGAGGCCGTGAGACAGCATTCTCCAAAACCACTTCATGAATAAATGCCTCAAGACCTTGTGTGGCCCAGAGCTGCCTCAGCTAAGCCACAGGGAATTGTTGACAGGAAGAGAACAACAAATGAGAATATTTGTAGCTCAGGATTGAAATGAGGGGTCCTTGGTGCTCTCTAAGCTTGCTTGTTCTCTAACAGACGTTTCATTACCCAAACTAGGTAACATTATCAGAGCTAGCAGGATGGAGGGGTGGGCATCCTAGAAGTGGGGTTTGCAAGCACTGATTATGTTATCTAGTTTGGGTAATGGAACATCTGCAAGAAAACTAAAAGGATGCAGATGACCAAGCTGTCTGCAAGGAAATAGAAATAGAATAACACAGTTGGAAGGGACCTTGGAGGTCTTCTAGTCCAACCCCCTGCTTAGGCAGAAAACCCTACACATTTCAGACAAATGGTTATCCAACCTCTTCTTAAAAGCTTCCAGTGTTGGAGCATTCACAACTTCTGGAGGCAAGTTGTTCCACTGATTAATAGTTCTAACTGTCAGGAAATTTCTCCTTAGTTCTAAGTTGCTTCTCTCCTTGATTAGTTTCCACCCATTGCTTCTTGTTCTACGCTCAGGTGCTTTGGAGAATAGCTTGACTCCCTCTTCTTTGTGGATTTTTTTCCCTTCCATTCCCCACTATCCTGTCAGAGCTGAAGAAGCTTCTTGGATGAGAAGTGAAACGTCTTCAAAAAGAAAAAAACAAGGAAATCCAGTTGCCTCCTGAAAAAAGCACTTTTGGGACAACCATGACCTGGATGACTGGGAATCTCTACAGACGTCTGCAAGAAAACAAGCAAACTCAGAGATCACCTCAGAAAGAGAACACTGCCTGAAAATAAGCAGTTTGCAAATAGGTCCTGAGAATCACACATATGATTGGGCAGAATTCTTTTTTAAACAATTAAATATGTAAATAATTGTTTCTCTGGGTAGGGTGGCAGAGTCAAGTGAGGCACTGTCTGAATTTTGGACACCAAAAGCTTCGCCATCACTAACCTAAGCTCCTCTGTGGCTCACTATTGAACAAATACCTTGCAATTAGAAAGGCATTCCCAATGCACAATGCCAGGGGAGAGCTAGGACTGGAAAGTTACACAATACAGGTAGTCCTTGAGTTACAACAGTTCGGTTTAAGCGACTGTTCGAAGTTACAATGGCACTGAAAAAGTGACTCGTGACATTTGTCCACACTTATAACTGTTGCAGCATCCCCAAGGTCATGTGAATAAAATAAAATTCAGACGCTTGACAGCTGGTTCATATTCATGGCGGTTGCCATGTCCCCGGGGTGTGTGTGTGTGTATGTCTGTATTCACATGATCCCCTTTTGCGACCTTCCGACAAGCCAAGTCCACGGACAAACCAGATTCATTTAACAAACCGTGTTAATAATTTAACCGTGGCAGAGATTACATTTAACAAACGTGCCAGGAAAAGTCATAAAATGGAGCAAAACTCACTTAACAGTAACAGAGTTGGGAGGGACCTTGGAGGTCATCTAGTCCAAATCCCCCCCCCCACTGCTAAGGCAGGAGACCTGCACTAGGGATTCAAACCACCAACCTTTCTGATCGACAAGCTCAGTGTCTTAGCCGCTTGAGCCACCTAGTCAGGCTTCAGACCTCTCACTTAACAACCCAAATTTCGGGCTCAATTGTCGTCGTAAATCCAGGACTATCTGTATTCAGTTTAAAACAGGCTTCGTGCGGGGTTAGAATCTGTCCTTCTCCCCCCCCTTACTCAGAGGTTCCTTCATCTGAGTAGAGTAGAGTAGAGTAGAATAATAGAATAGAATAGAATAGAATAGAATAGAATAGAATAGAATAGAATAGAATAGAATAGAATAGAATAGAATAGAATAGAATTTTATTGGCCAAGTGTGATTGGACACACAAGGAATTTGTCTTGGTGCATATGCTCTCAGTGTACATAAAATAAAAGATACATTCGTTAAGAATCATAAGGTACAACATTTAATGATAGTCATAGGGTACAAATAAGCAATCAAATCATATTAGGAATATTCTGATTAAAAAGCTGAGAATAATCCCGCCATCTTTCCATTCCGACCCACCCGGCCCCCTCCGGCGTCAATTTCACGGGCGCTTCTCACCCACCCCGCTTTCTTAGCAGCTGCCCATTAAAAACAATCTGCAATCCAAGCTGGAGCCGATCACTCGGGCCGCCCCCCCCCCGCCACCCCACTCGCAAGTGGTACAGTCCCACTCCCACTCCCTCACTTCAACGCACCGGACCTGCGCTCCCAAGCCCGTGAAATGCCCGCGAAGATTCGTCTGGGATGGGCTGAGCGCCGGTTTCTGGACGCCGAGCTTCCTCCGGGCTTCTTCCACCCCCCCACCCACCCCCCCTCCACTCCCGCCTTCCTCTTTCTCCGCAGCGCTGCCCTCATTCGCTTCCCGCTGGACGGCCCGGACCCCCGGGGAGCGGGAGGCGGGAAAAACCTGCGCGTGGCGGGGCGTCTGCTCGATTACCCGGGCCCCCGTGGGGGGGGGGAGGTTAAATAGACTCGCCCCGGCGTGGAGTCTCCGCAGCTGCCTCCATCTCCCGGCCGAGCTGGAAGTGCCGCCTGCAGCCAGAACCGCCTGGGGCCCTTCGTCCGCTTGGAGGGCGCCCGCGGGGCGACTGGACCAAAGCCCGGAGTTCGTCGGGGGAGCGTGGGAAGCGGCGTCTTACGTTAGCCAGCCTGGCACAGCGGCGCCAGAGGGATCGGATGAGCGTTATGGAAGGAAGGTACCGGCAGGTAAGTATGAGGGGGTAGCAGTAGCACCCGCTCAAGCGAGAGGAGAAAACAAATTATATCTCTCCCTCCCTCCTTCTCTCTCTCTCTTTTTCTCACCGTCCCTCTCTTCTTCTCTCCCTCCCTCCTTCCTTCCCTCTCTCTTTCTCTCCTTCTCTCTCTCCTTTTCTCTCTTTCTCCATCTCCCTCCCTCCCTCTCTACTCTTTCTCTCGTTTCTCTCCCTCTTTCTCTCCTTTCCTCTCTGTCTTCATCTCTCTCTCCTTCCCTCCCTCCCTTTTTCTCTCCTCTCTCTCTTCTCTTTCTCCATCTCTCTCCTTCCCTCTCTCCCTCCCTCTCTCTCTTCCCTTTCTCTCATTTCTCTTTCTCTTGTCTTTCTCCTTTCCTCTCTCTCCATCGCTCTCTCTCCTTTCCTCTCTCTCCATTGCTCTCTCTCCTTCCCTCCCTCTCTTTCTCTCCTTCTCTCCCTCCCTCTCTCTCCTTCCCTTTCTTTCTCCATCTCCCATCCTCCCTCTCCCTCTCCCTCTTCTCTTTCTCTCGTTTCTCTCCCTCTCTCTCTTGTCTCTCTCCTTTCCACTCTTTCTCCATCTCCCATCCTCCCTCTCCCTCTTCTCTTTCTCTCGTTTCTCTCCCTCTCTCTCTTGTCTCTCTCCTTTCCTCTCCATTTTCATCTGTCTCTCCTTCCCTCCCTCCCTCTCTTTCTCTCTTCTCTTTCTCCATCTCTCTCCTTCCCTCTCTCTCTCCCTCTCCCTCTTCCCTTTCTCTCATTTCTCTTTCTCTTGTCTTTCTCCTTTCCTCTCTCTCCATCGCTCTCTCCTTCCTTCCCTCTCTCTCTCTTTCTCTCCTCTCTCTCCTTCCCTCTCTTCTTCTGTCCCTCCCTCTCTCTTTCTCTCCTTCTCTCTCTCTCTCCTTTCCTCTCTTTCTCCATCTCCCTCCCTCGCCCTCTACTCTTTCTCTATTTCTCTCCCTCTCTCTCTTTTCTCTCTCCTTTCCTTTCTTTCTCCATCTCTCCTTCTCTCCTCTCTTCCTCCCTCCTTTCCTCTCTTCTTCCATACCTCTCTCTCCTTTCCTCTCTCCCTCCCTCTCTTTTTCTCTCCTTCTCTTTCCCTCTCTCTTCTCTCTCTCCTTTCCTGTCTTCCTCCATCTCTCTCTCTCCCTCTCTGTTCCTGCTGCTCTTAGCACAGCCTTTCTTTCTTCGTAGCCCTCCCAAGTGGAGGGCTGGGACCACAACTCAGAAAACTCTCTTGTCCATCTATTAACACCTGAAGAATATCAGGCTACAGAGGAGGGCTGCCCTAAAAAGAAGAAAAAGAAGAAGATAAGTTTTGGGAGGTCGCTTTGGCACATCGAAGTCCTCTGTTTGTGGCAGAGAGAACGATGTGCCTGCAAGCAGCCTCTCTGGGCCGCAATTTACACAGAAATCCCTGAATTCCTATGAATGGGAGTTGCTAACTGGAAAAGTGTCTTTAATAGTCACTGGTCCTTTGACGCTAAAGCCTAACCATAGCAGGTTTCAGTGCAAAATTCCAAGCACTGCTTGGAAGCATTGCCAATCGCTGCCCTAGAATGAGATTTGAAATCAACTTTTCTTATCCAGAAAAGAAGGTAATGCTAACCAGGAAGAAAACTTCTTGGAGTCTCTCTTGGCTGGAGACTTTGCTGTAGTTTTTACTACTTTGCTCTTAGACTTCGAGTGCTTTCAGATGGACAGCTCCTAGCACTACAAAAAGCAATTCATAACTACTCTGCCTTTTTTCTCTCAAATTTCCAGATGAAATGATCTTCTTCTTGTAAAATCCCTATGTTTCCTATGGCCGTTCTTAGAGTTGGGGGTTTTTTTCGGGGGGGGGGACATTTAAAATGTGTTGGGAAGGAGCAGCTTTCTAGGGTGAACGTTCTTAGACTTTGAACAGTTGTGCCTGATAACAGTGTAATCCTATTTGTGTTCACATAAAAGTTTAATATGTCTTATATGTAGTTAAGCAGATGTAGGCATCTTTTGGATTTTAACAAATAGGAATCTATTCCTTGCTGAGGAACATTCTTACCAAGGCATTAAGATTGCTCTCGTATATTGTGACACAGAATGGGGAAAGGGGCCAATTTAAGGAACAAGTTACTTAGCTTCAGGGATTTATTAGAAAGATTTAGATTGCCACTTCACTGACTTCCAGATTTGTTACCATCTTCAAAAAGAGCTTACAATTTTTTTTGTGGTAGTGGTAGTGAAATGACTTGCTAGGATTGGGAATTTGTGACATATTTATTTATTCAATTTGTATGGACACCCATCTCACGTTCATGATTTGCATTAGTTCACATAATTAAAACAATGATGCACACACAAAAGCAAAATACAGAGACCCATAAAACAATAATCCCATTAAAACCAAAATAAATCCATGACAATAAATTGAGCTGGTCTGTCATGACGAGGTTCCCAATACACAGTTTGGAAGAGAAAAATCTACATTCTCTTCTGAGAGTAAGGTCAGGCTAAGGAATAAAGTGGGATGTTTGTGGACTACATTGTCGCATTTTGAGTTCATTGGTTTCCCCATCTGCAGGGAAAAAAGCAATCTAGAACTAAGGAGAAATTTCCTAATGGTAAGAATAATCAACCAGTGGATTACCTTCAGAAGTTGTGGGTGCTTCATCACTGGAGGCTTTTAAGAGGAGACTGGACAGCCATTTGTCTGAAATGGTATAGAGTCTCCTGCTAGAGCAGGGGGTTGGACTAGAAGACCTCCAAGGTCCCTTCCAGCTCGATGTTCTATGTCCTAATGTGAGCTTTCCCAAACAAATTACCTTCTGAAGTGACAGTGGGCATATAATACAATTACAAATCATCAAAAATTATATAGTTTTCAGGACTTCCTTGTTTGCCTCTGTATCTCTTCATCTGTTAGAACTTGGAGCAATTACATCTTTTTTGAGTTCTTGATACTGTTGATGGAGGGATACAAGTATTTATACAACCTCAGAGTATACTCTTGAGAAGTGTAAGATGGAATTCCATTAACTGAACCAAAAGAAAGTAGCAATTATCAGCTGAGTGCAAAGTTTAGAAAATAATTATTGCTCATCTATTAATGGAGATACTTGATATAGATTTTTGAGTGTTTGTAAAAACATGATAAGAAATTTATGAGAGATCAGTCAAGCACACAAATTCATAGCTTTTGTTTTGCTGGGAAAATAATGAAAATGATTATATATGCCATCAGAATCTATCCTCTTTCATATTCCAGAACAATATAATTATAGATTAAGGTTAACATATGAACAGTTATAAATAAACTTCAGAAATAGATATTTATCCAGCTTATTCTATTTTCAGTTTTTTAGGTGTGCACCTCATTTTTAAAATTATTCTTTATTTGGAAGATAGCACTAGCACTAGCACTTAGACTTATATACCGCTTTACAATGCTTTACATCCCTCTCTAAACGCTTTATAGAGTCAGCACATTGCCCCCAACAATCTGGGTCCTCATTTTACTGACCTCGGAAGGATGGAAGGCTGAGTCCACCTTGAATCGATCGGGATCGAACTCCTGGAGTGAGCAGTGAGTTAGCCCTGCAGTACTGCATTCTAATCACTGCGCCACACGACGCTATGTAGACAGCTCTATGTAAGATATAGACTTACATCTTTTGGCATCTCTTTTCCCATTGCAATGAGTGATATGGAAGTTGATGCCAATCTACTGCCCTTTTTTTCCAGGAGAGTTATGTTACCCAGAGTGTAACATACTATTTTTGGTCATTATCTGAACTGGGAATACTTTCTATAAAAAAAAGTATGCATGTTGTAGATTTGGAATTGGTTGTATTAAAGTGTTGAAAGGATTTGATACATAACCTAGTCCCGCCTTCTGTTCCATACAGTAATACACTAAATTTCAACATCAAGTATCCAGAGTTATCCAATCCATATTTGAAAGCGTTAAAGGAGAGTCCACCCCATGCAAGACAGATTACTCCAGTGTTTGAGAACTCTTGATCAGGAAATTTCTTCTGATATTCAGTTGAATTCCCCCCTTTTAAAAATGCCTTTCCTTTGCCCTCATTTTCAGAGGAGAATAAGCTTGCCCTCCTCTTTACTCACTACATTCTTTTAGATATTTTGTAGACCATTATCATGTCACCATTTAGTCTCTTTTGCAAGCGAAGCATATATATATAGAGGGGGGGGAGAGGGAGAGAGAGAAAGAGAATCTTTAATCCAAAGGTCTCAGTTTCTAGATTTTTTTTTTAAATGTTCTCCTTTAAACTTTTCACACATCTTCTTTTCAATGATGGGACTCAGAATATATACATTCCAAGTGGCATCTAATTCATGCAGAATACAATGAATGATTACCTCCTGCAATCTGGATGCAGGGCTTCTATTAAAACAGCAGGGTCGTGCTGAGGATTTTGTTCAGTATCTGCACGATAAAATCACTCAGATTCGGGAAGGCTTGGTCTCTGACTGGGTAGGTACAGACGGGATGATGGGTGCCGGTCTTGGGACTGCCACTTGGGAGGAGTTCGACCCTGTTGCTCCCAAGGATGTGGACAGGATACTGGGGCGGCTGAATGCGACCACATGTTTATTGGAACCGTGTCCCTCCTGGTTGGTGCTGGCCTCCTGGGAGGTTACGCGAGGCTGGCTCCAGGGGATTATCAACGCTTCCTTGAGTGAGGGTGTCTTGCCATCCGCCTTGAAAGAGGCGGTGGTGAGGCCCCTCCTCAAGAAGCCTGCTCTGGATCCGGCTGTTTTGGCTAACTATCGACCGGTCTCCAACCTTCCCTTCTTGGCGAAGGTTGTTGAGAGTGTGGTGGCGCGACAGCTTCCTGGGTACCTGGATGAAGCTGTCTATCTGGATCCGCTCCAGTCCTGCTTCAGGCCTGGGCACAGCACGGAAACGGCATTGGTCGCGTTGGTGGATGATCTCTGGAGGGCTCGGGATAGGGGTTGCTCCTCTATCCTGGTCCTGTTAGATCTCTCAGCGGCTTT